GAATTTGCAAGGGAGTATACAACAATAGAAGATGGTAAAGAAATGAATAGCTGGCATATGACGTACGCGTCTGCACGGTCCCTGAATTATATAAAAAAAACACCACGTTACTCATTGTAGACGCTTCGTTTACACAGGAAATATATTATATTTATTTAGTATATAATAATTCAGATTAAAAAAACTTTATTTTGAAAGTATTATTTGGCCCATTTAGATGATGAGTTTTTTGGATGTTTGTATAAAACTTTCTTGTAATAAACACAGTGTAAAAGTGGTAGGAAAATTGTATAAAGTAGAGTTTTGTGAAGAAATTGATTTTTTTTCCTTTTCTTTTTTCTTTCTTTTCTTTTTCTTCTTCTTTCCTCTCTTCTCTTTCCTCCTTGCTACCACCGCTACTCTTGCCACCACCGCTACTCTTGCCGCCTTTGCCTCCAGTGCTGACCGACACATTTGCTAGCACTGTCACCAATGCCTCCATTATTTTTTCGTTTCTTTCTCCCCCTTCTTTCTCTTCCCCTCTCTCTTCTGCGTCATCCTCCTTCTTCCTCCCTCGCCATTCCTCCTTTCTCCGCTCCCTCCCTCCCGCCGCTCTCCTCCCTCTCTACATCATGTGTGCTTTTAGCACTAGTGTTTATTAAGTATATTTGCAGTGTATTTGTAAGGTGTGTTATTGAAAAACTAATTTTTCTAAATGCAATTCATACAAAATTTTAAGATTTTTTTTAACAAACAAACACACCCTTAGTCGTTTGTTCTAGTTATATCTAATTAAATAACCTTTGTATGCATTTGAGACTAACCCATGTATTGAAAGTAGAGCATTCTCTTATTGATGGAGGATCTATTACGAGTGATAATATTGCTCAATTTGGAGACCTCGTTGTGTAGTCTTTGAATCCTTTTAATCTAAGTTAATTAATAGATGTTAAGTGGTTTTTGCTTTATAATAGTCAATTCTATTGATATATATAATGTTGTAAAAATTTAGAAGCAAGAGAACGAAAAAGAAAAAAGATGGAGTAAGGAAAAACTAGTTGGCTTTGATTATATCTATTGAGGAAAGACAGAAAATGCAACTGAATGAGCCCTATAGATCAATTGTTTTTGAGGGTGTTTTTGTGAAATGTTACATTGTAGTATTGTCTATAAAAAACTTATAACTGTAGACATGTTTCGGAGTTTTTTAAAAATTTAATTTTTATGGGAAAAACTTTGGATACTTGAGTGAGCAAAAGATGGAGACGTGCAGCAACTTCAAATTTGACAATCATTTGAACCAAAAAGATTCTCGTACTCTAGGTTTTTAGTTCTTTAAAAGAAGAAATTGGTTCTGCATTTCCTTTGTTGATTCTGAAATTGAATTGTTACAGAAGGCTGAAAAACAAAACACATATACTTGATCATATGACATTAAATGATGCTAAGGGCACTGACATATGGGTTTGAAAGTTGGACATTGGTCTTAATGAATGTGAAGGAAGAATGTCCATTGTTATTAAGGTGGATAAATCAATTCATAACGAACCATTTTAGGCAGCCGATTTACGAGAATCTATGAGCACCAATCGGCTTTTTGGGTCACCGAATATAACGGAGATTTTTGTTTAAGCCCATAGGATCCATATCCTATTATATATACATCTATACCATATATAATGTCTGAGCAGCAGTAATTGGTGTAAGCATTTTTTTTTTCATTTTTTGAATTTTCAATTGTATCCTTATGAAAGTTAATTTTCACCCTAATTACCTAATCACATTTTGCCAATATAACTACCCATAACATCCTAAGTACTATAACGACCAAATTACTATGATCATATAAACCAAAGTTCTTTCATTGAAAATTTTATATAAATGCTTTGTATGTAACAAATTAAATTTATACAAAATTGATTCATTTTAATTATTTCCTAATTGCACACATATTGAGTGTACCCTTAACAATACATAAAACATGAAAGATCTTATGAACAGTAGCAGCTTCTACTCATGTGAACAGTGTTTTTCATCCAGTATCACACAAATGTGGAAACTTTTGTGGATCTGGCATTGAGCCCACATCTTAACCTGGTACTGTACGAGGTTTCATTTAACCTATATTTATGCATCTCTCCTCCATTTTGAAACTTATGAGTTGTAATTGTGAAATTTATGCATCTCCCCTTTCTTCCTACAATCTCGTATGAATTGAAGGATAGGCTATGGAGGTATTATGTCAATAGGAGTTTTTGTTCTCTCTTAACCTCTTTATGCCTTCCCTGTCCTTCTTCATGTGCTAAAACACGGTACAACGTTTAGATTTTTTATGCATTGTACTGTTTATATACGAATAGCAGGTTATTCTTTAATATACTTCAATAAATCAATTAGTTAATCTGGGTTCGAACGATGTTCTATTGATTGAACAATTATTGACTTAGATCAAACATATGATGTAAAGCGTGCAAATTAGTGTAAGGGTGTTCTAATTGAAATCTGTGTTACCCAACCCCCGATTTAACTCATCTACAGTAGTCTTTGTTCAGCGAATGACATATTTGGAAGCACCAATGTGAGGAATGAATTCACGCGTGTAAATTGAACGTAAATTTGTGCTCCTATTTTAGTCCTTCAGATTATTGGGTGCTTGTATTTTGATTTGCTCAATACTTTTTGCTGCCTCAGCTTAGACACTACATGCATAGAGTATAGAGAGTATAAACTTTGTCCTTGTGCTATATTTTCTACAGGTTACAATTTTATCACATGTGCTTTTAGAGCGCCTTTTGTATAAACGTCATAATTAATTGTATATTCCATCCATTTTCCATTTTACAAAAAACTATAGGCAGATTATATAGTTATTTTGAAACTTTAGGGGTTTCATCTGATATTAAAATCATAGGAGCTTACAAGTAATTTACCCTTCATTTACTGTATTGATGCTTTATTTCGAGTTATGCTCCACCTTTACATATCCACACTTATTTTGGAATTCCATATGCTTGTCTCAGCTTTTATCCTTATGAAAGTATAGTTTTAGAATGATGAATGTTTGGACCTACACGGGCAATATCCATTTTTTCTCACCTGAGTTTTGTTTGGTTCAAGTACACAAGATCTATGAAATGAATTATTGTTTGGTTCAAAACGTACCCAGGTTGATGAACTTCAAGATTTTTAGATATCAGTACTTGTGGGTCAAATATCTCACCTATTTATAATGATCGGTTGTTATATGCATACCGTTATTACTCTTTTAAATTAACCTTCTTTCAGAACAATTGCATGTCTAGTTTCTGGCTGGGTGTAATTCACTAATGAACACAAAGTTTAATATTGATCCCACTCTTTTGTCAAGGTTTGACCTCTTGGCTTGAGTTTGTATTCTTTTGTCACGTATATTTCAAGTTTGACTCCAAGCTTTTACTACTTTAGTTGTCCCCCAATGTATTCATCACTTGAGAGAAAAAGGATTACAATCATTGTTTTAGAAACCTCGGGAGAGGTTTTTCATTGTTTTACTTAACATTTTCGAACTATAAAAAATCTCACTTTTCTTTCTTACTTTAGGTTTTTTGTATCATTTATAACCCATTTTAAAATATAATATTAAAAAATTTATGTTGGGAGAGTAAATATAATCTCATTCCAAATTTGCCCTGTATGTTATCTAATTCCTTTTTTTTAAAATAAAAATTATATTTTATTCATAATAAGAACCAAGAACAAGAAAAGCAACACAATCTTCTAAACACATGACAAGTCTTGCCCTCTCATGACCTCTTCACTCTCCTAATAGCAGGAGTTCCCCATTTGTCAAGTTGAATTTCCCCTCTGGCCAACAAAGGAATTGCTGGAAGGCTGTCATAGGTCCGAAGCGATTCTTGGGTGTGCGTGACTCCCACATTGGCCAAGGCGTCCGCCACTTTGTTCATCTCTCGAAAACAGTGTGAGAAACAATTCTCCCCCGCCACCAATTGCCATATCTCTTCCATCTCCATTCGAACATACCAAGGACAATGAAACCGTCGCTGAAGGATGCCCACTAAAGTTGTCGAGTCCGATTGAATAAAGGGTGGAGGCATCCCCCTTGCTTTGCACAAATGAAGGCCTACCAACAACACTAAAACCTCTGCCCGTAAGCTAGTCTGGTCGTCTAGGAAAGCTGAAAACCCCACCACGAACTCACCGTTGAAATCTCGAAGCACTCTACCACCACCACTGAGTCCCGGGTTGCCTTTGGAGCACCCATCCGTGTTCAACGTCAATCGGTCAGCTGAGCTAGGCCTCCATCGTACAATGAGAAAATCATACCTCTGGGGGCCAGCCATGGCGATGGTGTCGTACATCTCCGGAAACGTGCGAACATCCAATCGCTGTTGAAACTGAATCTCAAATGCTGCATTTACATCCTTGAAGATCGCTTGGCAAACATCTCGGCCCTGCACCCAAATTCCCTCGAAAACTGCTCTATTTCTCGCCTTCCAAAGATGCCAACATATCCAGTTGGGCAACCCGGCCAACAGGAATCGCCGCTGGGATGACATCGAAGGTAGCTGCCACCAATCTAGTAAGCATGCTCTTAAGACAGGGGGCTGAGGGTGTATACCACAGGTACCATTGAAGAAAGTCCATACCTCCATTGCTAGTCTTCCAGTGAAGAAGACATGTTCAATAGTCTCCGCCGTAGGCACTTCACAACAGACACATTTGGAAGGCAATTGGAAGCCCATTCTACATAACACCTCATCCATGGGTAACCGTCCCCGCAACAGATGCAGCATTAGAAATGAAACTTTAAAGGGGAGGTTCGGTTGCCAGATTTGAGAGTAGACAAAAGACTTATGCTGAACCTGTCTGACCTCTTGGAATGCCGAGGACAAGGTGAACTTTCCAGTTGAAGTCGGCATCCAGATTGCCTCTGTGCCCCTGTCCCCACTCGGTGTTGCCAGCTTCAGGATGGAGGAAACGATGTTCAGGGTGAAAAACTGCCCCAGTCGCTGGGCATCCCATTATCCCCGCACTATGAAGTCCTCAAAGGACAAGTTTGGCATGTCATTAGCTATTAAATACAACGCCCCAGTTCCTATCCAGTTATCATACCAAAAGTTACAAGGCCCCCTGTGAATCAACCATCGTATGGACAATTCCACATGTCGATGAACATTGATCATGCGCCTCCAGACTGTAGACGCAGTTGCCTTTATTTCTGCTTGGCATGGATGAATCTCTTGGCAATACTTTACGTGCAGAAACTTAGCCCAAAGGGACGACCCCGTACAGAAGCTCCACCACAGCTTGTATGAAAATGCAGTGTAAATGTCCCTAAGCTTTCGAAAGCCAACTCCCCCTTCTTTAACTGGATAACACAACTGAGACCAACGTATCCAATGTCGGTTGGGATCCCCCCCCACTCGCCCCCATAAGAAATCAGAGCAGGCCTTCTCGATGACCCTAAAAATTGTTTTTGGCATCACAGCGGCCGACAAGAGATGCATCGGGATCGCTATCAGCACGTGCTTGATTCGGACGATCCTCCCTCCAAGGGAGAGAAACCTCGACTTCCATGAGAGGATTTTCCCCAGTATGGCCTGACACACTTCCTCATAATGCGTGGCCTTGCTCTTGCCAAAGTACAAAGGAAATCCTAGATACCTAATGGGGAAGTGTTGTCTTGAAAATCCAGTGAATCTCTCCACCACCCTCCGACGAGCAGGTGACGTGAACGGATGCATGAGGTACCCACACTTTTTGAGATTGACAAGGTGGCCAGAAGCTCTCTGATATCTGTCTAGCATATGCACGATTAGCTTTAAAGACGCCGAGGACCCATTGGCAAAAATTATCACGTCATCTGCAAACGCTAGGTGAGTGACCTGCTCACATCCCCTCGAAATTGAAAACCCCCTAAATCCAGGTTGCGTAACTAGGCTATTAAGACCCCGAAATAGGACCTCAGCCGCAATCACAAATAGCGCAAGAGAAAGGGGGTCCCCCTACCGCAAACCTCTACTGGATTTAAAAAAGCCATGAGATGAGCCATTGATAAGCACGAAAAACCAAACATTTGACACCAGTCGCCACACCGTATCAACAAACCGTTCTCCAAACCCAAATTTGCGCAAGACATTAACCAGGAAAATCCAGCCCACCCGATCGTAAGCCTTCAACATATCCAATTTTAGCACAACATTACCCCCTCTAGCCTTTCTTCCAATACCCGTAATAATCTCTTGGGCAAGCAGAAAATTCTCCGTGATACTCTGATTCTTGATAAAGCCTGTCTGTTGAGGGGACACTATTTTGGGCAAAAGATGGGCTATCCTATCGGCCAAGATGCGTGACAGCAACTTGTTAAAAAAATTACATAAACTAATTGGGCGGAATTGGGAAAAGTCTTGAGGGTGTAACACCTTGGGGATAAGCACAATAGACGTAGAAGTCATAAAACGAGGCAACTTCGCCCCACAGAAAAAACTTAGTACCCCATTATACACGTCCTGAGCCAGAATATCCTACGCAAAAGTAAAGAACTTACCAGTAAACCCATCCGAGCTTGCTGCGCTATCCCCGTCCATCCTGAAAACTGCCTGTTTGACTTCCTCCATCGAAGGAGGCTCCTCCAAGGCCATATTATCCTTCCTTGTAATGAGACGAGGGATAAGATATAACAGCCCTATGTCCTCGTTATTTGACCTTGAAAACAAATCGGCGAAATAGCTGACAGCTGCACTTGCAATGCCCTCATCATCCTCTATCCAATCCCCACTTATGTTCGGCACGCGATGAATCGCCCCTTGTACCCTCCGCTGCTGAACCGCTGCATGAAAGTACTTTGAGTTGCCATCCCCGTACCGTAGCCACTTCACCCACGCCTTTTGGCTCCAAAACTGCTATTCAATTAATAGAGCATGTCGCAACTTTGCTTGGGCTTTGTGCAACTCGATTTGTGCCTCTGCGGACTCATCATGCTTTGCCGTTAACTCCGCTTGGAGAACTTCCTCCTCCATCGTGCGTACAACCTCAAAAACATTCCCAAAGGAATTTTTGTTCCATTCTCGTATGACTCTTCTAATAGCCAAAAGCTTAGAGCACAGAGCTCGCAATGGGGACCCACCAACATCCTGGGCCCACACACGTCGAATCACCTCCAACAGGGACTAATTGGTAGTCCATACATTCAAAAGACGGAAGGGACGCGGCTTATTGTCCAGGCGAGAGACAAAAGAAATCTTTAAGGGGGCATGATTCGAGGGGTGCCTTGCCAGATGAGCTACCGTCACCGACGATATCAATGACGAACACTCAGCATTAATCAATAGCTTATCCAACCTTTTCCAAATCCTTGCTCTTCCCTTTCGATTGTTACACCATGTGAACTGTGAGCCCGTGAACCCCACATCAAAAACCCCTGCCATCTCCATAAAAGACAATAGCTCACGACCCTCATTGCTGCAAAACGGCCACCCGCCTCTCTTCTCCTGGGGCACCATAATCACATTGAAGTCCCCGCATACGCACCAAGGTAACGAAGTGGGCTTATCATTCAACAATGCTTGCCACAATGTCTGTCTGTCCTCCACCGAGCAGCGTGCATGAACAAAGGAAACAACAACTAGTCCGGGCAACCAAGGATGTTGAACTTGAAGGGAGACATGTTGTGACGATCGTCCAATCACGGCGCACACAAAAGGCGAACTATGGAAAACCCATATATCTCCCGATGCATTAGCCTCGACAGCGTCAAATGACAAACGTAGCCTAATGGACTCAATTTGAGAAATCCCAACCTTGGGCTCACATATCGCAACAAATTTGATGCCATGCATTCGTAATATTTTCTTTAACCTCCTGAAATTGGGGGACGCATAATCCCCCTGATGTTCCAAAAAAGCCTGCTAATCATGGGATACCAATCGGGAAGAGGTTTGAGAACATGTTGAAGATGATCGAAGCTGTCTGTTTGAAGTGAAAGTCGCCCGTACTCCTTTCGCTTTCCTTTGCTTGAGTTCAAACCCGTTATCCCTAGACTGATCAAGGTTTAAAGATTCCAAAGATGCATCGGTCTGATCTGTTTGAAGGCTCCTTGCCCTTGGGGATAAATTTCCAGCTGTAGAAACTAACTCAATCGCCTCCCTTGCAAAGTCAGCAACATCCCTCTCTTCCTCCATCCACACGCAATCTGCTGGTGGGTGTGTGGTTCCCACCAAGGTTTCATCCATCTTGCCATGAGAGTCCTCCACCTACCCAGCCCGTGCCTCCGCACTACTATTTGGAAGCTCCACCCAGAGCTCCGTCAGTTTTTCTTTGCGCGCAATCACCACTGGCGGGTTGCTAGCCTCTCCTGCTGCAACAGAGTGCCTGACCGCCTCCACTACAGGTGCAACTGTTGCCTCAAGCTGCCTCTGCTGAACGCCCATGTTGGCGAGCTGGGTCGAGCCCTGCTGCGGCGTTGATGACGGTCCCTCATCTGCACACTCCATCGTACGCTCCTCCTCCAAAAAACCCAGCTTCGGATCGTACTGGTCACTCGACCCCTGCTGCGGCACTGAAAGCGGTCCCTCACCTGCGCGCTCCTCCTCCAGATTGCCCAGCTTTGGGACGAGTTGCGCAGGTGCCGTAGCGATGGCTGAAGGTCGCGTGTGCCCCTGGAATTGCGCCTTAGTTGCACCATTGGCAGCAATGTTCTTCCTACACTCCTCCTTTCAGTGACCCAACCTCCAGCAATTCGAACAATATTTTGGGACATCCTCCATCACCACTTTCTGCCAGAAACCGCCCTCTCCCTCCACTGCAACCCATACCCGTGAACAGAGTGTCTTCAACAAGTCTATTTCTACACATGCCTTGGCCACGCTTGGCCTCGTACCCGTCGTTGTTGCTGCATCCAAAAAAAAAGGTTTCCCTATGGGAGATAGGATTGAGAACAAGGAGTTCTTGTCATGAAAGTGAATGGGTAAAGCGGGCAAAGAAACCCACACCGGGACCAGGGAAGATTCCTTGTGAACATGAAATTCTCTGGTTCATCTGAACACACGTATTGGGTACTTGCCGATCTGCCACAAGCCTCTTGTCCAGAGCCAATTGATGTCAGCCTCCGCTGAACACCTCAGTAGAACATGCCTATAGTCCAGCAAGCCAACAGAAAGTTGATCATGTAAATTCAGAGTGGCGAAGAACTTTCTAATCTCTTCTAAAGGCAGTCTTCCATGAGAGAACTTTCCGACGAGTGCCAGGCGAAAGGGAGCCGCTAACCTGTCCACATCCTCCTTTGAAAAAACCACAGCAGCCTCTCCTTTGTATGTAGATACTGGCCGAACCTGGATCTGAGGATTCGTTGGCTGCATGAAAAGCTGAGAGAAGGATTTCTTGCCAGTCGGAGAACCAGCAATTCCTTTACCCAATGGCTGAAGGGCTGCCATAGCAGCCATGGCAATGTGGAAAACCCTAGCAAGCACTTTCCTAAAATATCGGAGCTCTCAATTTATCGTCTAACTCCAATGTTATATAACTCCAATGTTTTTTTAACACAATTAAAAGATCTTCTTTTAATTTGGTATCTACTACGGTAGCAAGCAATTTCATCATTTACTGCAACACTCTGTGGTACAATGAAGATATTTAGTTGTAAATAGATACATTGAAGAAAATTAAACCAAGCTATTTTAGTATTCAATTTCCTAATTCATTTTGGTTTTTATATTTGATAAGTGCTTATTATATATGAATATTAGTAGCATTTTGTGTGTGTTTTTGGTAAACTTTAGGATGATTTAAGATATAACTTGCTTCCTAAACTTCTAAATTTTGCAAGTTTCATTTGAGTAACTTAATGTGCAAAAAATGGTTATATTTGCGGGAATTGAGGTGAGCTCTCAACGTTGGAGCGAGATGGATTCGATTCGAAGTCATTCGTTCTTGATTCAATGGTAATTCGAAAAGTAGAAGATCAAATACAAGTATTAATAGTGCATTGCATCAGGAAACATCTGAACTTGATGATTAGTGAGGAATTGGAGCAGAAAACAATCGAGAATTTAGTCCAGAAGGCAATACGCGACCTCAGCACACATCCTTAGGTCGCATATTGGGTGGTCGTGTATTCTCCCCTATTTTTTTGCAACTTGTTCTACAAGCTGCTTTGTTTTCACACTACTTTCCAGCTCAATTTCACCTCAGAATTTTGGCTGCACATGCTCAAGATTCCTTAGGGAAGAGAAAAAGTGCTTTATGTCTTATCATTAACAATTTTTTGACTCTCTTAATAATATATATGCAAGAATCATTGAAGAGAGAGCGGATTCTTCATAGTTTTTGGTAGATAATAGTTTTAGTTCTTTTTTATTCTCTCTAACTAGAAACTTATAAGAAAAACTTGAAAATTCATTGTATCACTCACTTTGTTGAAGAAATAGAAGATTTGGAAGCTTTTTTGTCATTTTGGCTAAGTTTTCTCTATCTTTCTCTTTACTTGTGATTCATCATGTTTTCAAGCAATGATGGTATGCTTTTTATTGTTTTATTTCATATGAGTAGTTAAATTTCTAGATTTAACGAGTAGAGAAAACTTATGGTTACTTGATATGAAATGAATATGATTTACACTTATTACATCTTGTATTAACTTGTCCATTTATACATGCTTATTACTTGTCGTTGCTTGATCACCAATAGCAAGTTTTTAGTTGTTATTATTCAATGAAAATTGGTAATAATAATGGAGCAACATAATGGAATTTAAAGAGTAAGCTCATGAGAATAGAGGCACACTTAAGTAGATTAACTTTGCATTTCATGAAGAACAAAAGAGTAGATCTAGTTATTTACCATGAGAATAACGAAAACTAAATTATTCTAAACCACTACATCATGAGAGTGAGTTTTGGTAAATTTGAAAATGAATCTCTAGTTAAGCAAGAGTAGTAACAAGAGATAAGTTTATTGATTTATATCTTTTGTGCCATAAGAGGACTCTATCTCCCTCGATGAAATTTCTCCATTATTATCTTGCAAGTTATGTAGTTAAAATAGTTAGATAGTAAGTATTGTTATTTCTATTCTCTTCATTTGATAAATAGTCTAAATAATAGACCAACTAAAATACCTAGTACTTGTAATAGTTGCTCCTTATGGGATCGACCCGATATATGCTCTAAACCACTACTTGAGCTGTATACTTACAGTCAAATGGGTATATTTTGGATTAAAGTTGCACTTACAGTGAAAACCCGTCAAATTTTTTGCGCCATTATCGGAGAGCGGCAATATTAGATCCTAACAAACTTTATTAATTTAGATATTTTCTTTATTAGTTAGTTGAACTTTGCTAATAGATAAGTTAGGATTTTTATTTGTTTTTGTGATATAACTACTACATTATCTCTTTTCTTCTTATTTGTAGTGTATGATCGGGAGTTACACATTTTGATCCGAAAGTTAAAAGGGTACTATGTAAACAAAGAAAGCATACACCACAACAAGAGAAAGTGGAGGTTTAACATATAGAGAGAATTGCTATTGAGTTGCCTTTTGAAGAAGAAATGACAAAAAACGAAACAAATAGGCATGTTCTTAGAGATTTTGCTCTACTGGAGACACAAGAATCACAAACAAGTATAGCGCAGCCAAAGGTAAACGCTAACAATTTTGAAATTAAACCATCACTCATTCAAATGGTTCAACAATTCCAATTTGGAGGTAATGCCGTAGAGAATCCAAATACACACTTAATCACATTTTAGAGATATGTGATACAATTAAAATAAATGGAGTTAGTGCATATGCAATAAGGCTAAGGTTATTTCCCTTTTTGGTGAGAGATAAAGCTAAAATTTGACTAAACAATCATGCTCCTAATACTTTCACTATTTGGGATGATTTATCTAGAGCATAATTTGAATTTAAGCATTTGAATTTTAGCCAATTTGAATTTTGAGCCATTCGAAATTAGAGAGAGAGAGAGAGAGAGAGAGAGAGAGAGAGAGACTTAAGAGCGCTCAATTTCCTCCTCCATCTTGCTCTTGAAAATCACTTGGAAAACCATCAACCACCACATTTTTTCTTCTTCTTCTTCCTCTCTTCTTGTTGAGCAGAGAGAGAGAGAGAGAAAGAGAGAGAGAGATCAAGAGAGATGGGATGCCATCCATCTTGCTTCTTGTAGATTTGTGGAAGAAATCACCAACCAACCTAAAAGATCTTTGACCTTTCTTGAGGAAACTTGAAGGGGTGAAACTTGGAAGGAAGTTTTGAGATTGAATCACACTAGATCTAGATAGATCTTGAGGTAAGAACCGAAAAGCATCCTTAATCTTTAATTTCTAGCCATGAAAATGTTAGATTCACTTGATTTAAGTAAGATCTATGGTAGATCTAGTAAATTTCTTGAAGTTATACCACTAGATGTTCTAATGGTTAAAATACTAGCATAGCTCTTGATTTGGTGGTTGGATTCACTGGGAAATTTTTCATTGATAACCAAGGGCTAATGATTGATGAAACCCTTAGAGATTTGAGTGAGTTTGTATTGGCTCAATGGTTGTTTTGTTGGCAAAATTCTTGAAGAATTTTCAAATAAGCTAGCCGAATGAAGAGGGTTAATTTTCAATCTTCATTTTTTGACATTTTTGTGTTCTTTTTGACTAAATCTCACTCAAGTGACTTGGTATTATGTTAAACTATGATTATATGTTGATTTGGAGTTGAAATCTAGGAATTTTAATGGTTGAAAATCATTTTTATTTCACTATTTTTGGGCTAAAAATTATTCGGACATCAATGGTGAACTCGAGACTGTTTTGCCCTTGATTTTGTGTTTTCACGAGTCGAATTTTGGGAAAAATTATTCTAGATATATATTATTTTCATAACTCGAGTTTACGTTCAAGTGAATTTTGTTTAATTTAGCGAATTGTTGAGGCAAAACTTATTGTCTCTCTTTACGTGTTTATAGGAGAGATTGAAGACTGTGATACCTATCCTAACTTGGGTTTTGAGTTTTGATATATTGGTGAGTTTCCATGCATGTTATCTGACTTGAATTTCCAAATATGTCATAGATGTGAACTTGGTGTCGTAACTGAGAAAAATAGTGTTTTAAATTGTTGAAGTGTGGTGATGTAGCTTGGGTTGTTATCCCATCGACGATCAGTGATTGAGTGTGCATGTTAATTTTTGAAAATTCCTGAGTCCTATTGGTAAGTCTGTTGATTCGAGCCAGTCATGG